TTTTTTTGGAGGGAGAATCTAGCGGATTACGCGGTCATTATGCTGCGATTTTTTTTTTGAGTGATAAAAAATTGATTCTCTTCCTAATAAATTTAAAAAAAAAAAATTTACCTGTTTTCCGTTACCATCTATACACACACACACACACACACACACACACACAATGTACTTCTACATCACAGAAATATATTCATGAATGTTGTTCGATAAAAATTTGTTAATATTTAATGATGATTGCATCAGTTTCTCGAGAAAAACAAAATTATTGTTTTTATTATTACTACTTTGGTTGTTGTTTTTGTTTTTGTTTTTTTCTGCTGCTTTATCATCAACATTATTAATTTGATGGCCTGATTATCATTGGTAGAAAATTAACTTAAAATTATTTAATTAATCATAATCTTTTGGATGACAAACATTGAAATGATTTTGTTGATTAAATCAATCAAAATTTTCATTTCTTAGACTGCTTGTCGCCTAATAAACAAAAACAATAAAAGATAAAAATCTTTATTATAGAATTTTTTTTCTTCTTGACAATAAAAGAAATCAGAAAACAAAAAAATCTCGTTTATCTATTGATTGCTGTTGTTTTCTGTAGTTTGTTTTTTTCTAATTTTAAAACTGTAAAATCACATGATTCTCATGCCAAAGCAAACAAGTAAAACAGGATGTTAATGATAATGAGTAATGGATAATGGATAATGGATATTTATATTTCACATATTTATTTTCTTAATTTAATTTTTCAATTAAACACATCTGTGTAATTGAATAATAGAAATTAAGGTAACTATTTTTTCCCTTGAACAACTCTTTCATTACATCATCTGTTTTCACAGATGATGATGATTACATAATCAAGCGAAAAAGAAACGAAAAAGAACCCTTTTTTTATTATTATCATTATTTAACACAAGAATTGTAGGAAGAAGCAACAAAAAAATCAACAGACAAAAAACGTTGAATGAATGAATAAATATAAATAAAAATCATCATCATTAAAAAAAACAATTTAAAGTTTCAAAACAAGGAGCCTCAATTTGTTGTTGGCCATTCAACTAGATTAAAATAAATTTTCGATACAATGTATAACATTGTATCAGGTCATTCAATGATCTTATGATCTAAATTGACAATCAAAAATATGATGATGATGATGATGA